GGGGGGGTACTTCAGGAATTTCTGGGTGGGGATGTGCCGCTGGGACCCTGGAACCCTTAACCTATACCAGAGCTAGTTCAGCTGAATTTTGTTACCCTATACTAGAGTAAACTCCCCAAATCCCCCGTATCCTAGAGTAGCTGTTTCCCTAGTCTAGAAAAAATCTTCAACCAACTGATCAGTTTCCTGAAACATGATACCCTATTCTCCGCTCTGATTTATACACCCTATCGTAGAGTACACTGCTTGAAAACCATACCCTTCACAGCGGCACATACCTAAATAGCCCATATATGGCAGTACCCTCCCCCCCGGGACAGCCCGTAACACAAAGCGCTCCATCTTGATGATCTTACGGAAATATAGAGGACTGTGAACAGTCTACGGCATCGGCTGGTCACGTGTACAGCCTATGTATTCCTGAGTAGTCTGCGTAGCTGACCGTATTGTGTGGGTGCGAGATTAAAGTTTAGGCGGCGGAGCCGTGTTCCAAAAACAGGGAGTAGGGACGAGGCGGTTCACCCGCCTCGTCCCTACTCCCTACTCCCTGTTTTTGGAACACGGCTCCGCCGCCTAAACTTTAATCTCGCACCCACACAATACCGTCAGCTACGCAGGCTAATTCCTGAGAAGCTAATATATATGCAACCCGCTGGTTTTGCGCTGCCAGAAGGGAGTAAAAATGGAAAATAATAACATCGCGAACTATGTCAATATTTTCGCGAGTGTGCGCATTATTCAAATGCTAGAAGTTTATGAAAGGGCGTACCTGCTCTACGTTGTCACGTACAAAATACGGTATGTCAAATGCTTCAGCGTTGAGACAAGCTGTTATCGACTGGTACTGTACAGTACCAGGAGCCGACAGTACCGCAAATGATCCCGAGACCGCAAATGATCCCCAAAATGGACCGCAAATGATCCCGACCGCAAGTGATCCCTAAAGTCGACCGCAAATGATGCCGTAAAAACTTGAGGAATGGAATGGATTTTATGGGACTGATTACAAAAATGGACTGATTATTAAAAAGGAACCTTTTTCTCTCGCCTTCTAAAGAAAAAGGGAAAGAGGACGCTACATCTCAGGTCAATTTATACAAGGTGAAAAAAAAAATGGAATAAATCTGAAAAGGATATGGTATTCACCGTATACTTCTTTCTTTGTCAGAATTCAATTTTCTTTCAAGAATGTTTCGTCGCTTAAAAATTTAAGACAGGCAGGACGTTACGCAGAAAAAACTCTATTGATATTTTAACGCCTATAAGTTCAACTTTTCTACTGAGGAATACAAAGCTGGGCACCCTCTACATAACAAGAGCTTTATTGACTTTACTGATCTTTTTGGAAGTGTGAAATGAATTTCAGAATATTTAATTTTGATTTTTCTCTGTGTTAATTTTACGTGATAAACAGCAAGACATTTGTTCGTAACTTAGGTGCCCGTTACGTAACAAGACATGATTTAACCTAAACACAAGTCAAAATGCCCCCGAAATTATCAATGTCCACAGGTTTCGGTTTATTTCGAAATAGCAACTTGCTTACAGCTCATGAACATGTAGCCTCCCACGCACACGCTCTTACGAGGCTAATGAACATGTTGTGAATAGTTATATTGACGCTTATATGTATATTCATTTGTTGTGCCTTTGCTAGAGACAGTTACCAGCAATCTAAACCTGGTAATGAGAAACGCAAAAGCGAGAGTAAGCGGTAGTTACCGACTTCATTTTTACACTTGAATGATTTTTTTTTCATTTAGTTTTTATTCATGTATTTATTTGAGAAGTAAAATTTAGCATTTAATCTGACTTTTTCTAATAATAATAAAGTCGACACGATGATCCGCTAACTTGAGTCCAAGTCATTCTTATGTTTTTTTTCGGGATCATTTGCGGTCCATTTTGGGGATCATTTGCGTTCTCGGGATCATTTGCGGTTGGGGATCATTTGCGGTACTGTACAGCACGTCAACTAAACTTCATCGTCAAGCGGAAAGTGATTTTGTCCAATGTCAAACAAAAACGCGGGCCTTTGCCTCCAGGATCTGCAGTGAATTTAAACAAATTGAACTTAATTGAAATAGAATTGTTCATCAAAATGCTTTATGGAGTCTGGTCTTCTCTACAACCCGACCATGAAACAAGCAAATCTCCGCAAGTCAGCCCTCCAGCCAGGAACGATGACAGGTCGCCGATCTGAAACATTTGAAGACCTCTTATATCTTT